GGCCCGCTGAGCGCGCGCAGGGGTGGGGGCTTTGGGCCACATGTGCGTACCTGCGCGGGGCTCTCTTCCCTGGAGCCTTTGCGCACGGCCCAGGAGCTTTTGCGCACGGCCCAGGAGCCTTTGCGCTGCAGCGTTCATGTCCCCCGGCCGCTGCGCGGCCCGGTGCCAGGTACTCCACGGCCCGGCACCGGTCCACGGACCGGGGGTTGGGGACCACTGGATTAGATGATAGGTAGGTAGGTAGGTAGGTAGATAGATAGATAGATAGATAGATAGATAGATAGATAGATAGATAGATAGATAGATAGATAGATAGATAGATAGATAGATGATAGGTAGATAGATAGATAGATAGATAGATGATAGATAGATAGAGGGGATGTGGTGGCTCAGTGGCTAAGACACTGAGCTTGTCGATCGAAAGGTCGGCAGTTCAGCGGTTCGAATCCCTAGTGCCGCGGAACGGGGTGAGCTCCCGTGACTTGTCCCAGCTTCTGCCAACCTAGCAGTTCGAAAGCACGTAAAAAATGTAAGGAGAAAAAATAGGGACTGCCTTTGGTGGGAAGGCAACAGTGTTCCGTGCGCCTTTGGCATTTAGTCATGCCGGCCACATGACCACGGAGACGTCTTTGGATGGCACTGGCTCTTTGGCTTTGAAATGGAGATGAGCATCGCCCCCTAGAGTCAGGAACGGCTAGCACATATGTGCAAGGGAAACCTTTACCGGTAGGTAGGTAGGTAGGTAGGTAGGTAGGTAGGTAGGTAGATAGATAGATAGATAGATAGATAGATAGATAGATAGATAGATAGATAGATTGATTGAGAAAGAAAGAAAGAAAGAAAGAAAGAAAGAAAGAAAGAAAGAAAGAAAGAAAGAAAGAAAGAAAGAAAGAAAGAAAGATCCCCTCTATTTTAAGAGAATCCCCAATAAAAGCCGCAGCGCTTTGGCTAATCCCATTGTTGCCAGTTAATACGACCAGATTAATACACGGAAATAAAAAAATTATCTCTTGATCCCCTCTGAACAGGATGTGAATTGAGCTAGGAGAAGGGATGGTTTAACCACGGATATTTTTTTTCTTGAGCTTTCCAGTTTGGGAGTCCTCGGGAACGAAAGATCCCTCTGTGGGTTTGTCGAGCAATCTTTAATGATAATATTTATCGCAAATGCTTTCTCCAAATGGGAAGTGGGCATTCGGTTAGGAACTTCTTAATTATTCCATGCTTACGATGGGCTTTGTAATGAGGGAATTGCAAATAAATAAAAACCGAAATGGCTTCTTAATAAGGATGGGCAGATTCTTTCCCTTTTAATGATGGGTGGAAGGCCCCGGCCCAATAAACAGCGTTCCCTATCTCAGCATCTCCTCTCCAGACAGGTTTGGGACTACAAATACCATCGTGTCTGGCCAGTCAGCAATAGAAAACAGTTACATTTTTTAAAAAAAATTGATTTATATGCCGCCCTTCTCCGGAGACTCAGGGCGGCTTACAATGCGCTAAGCAATAGCCTTCATCCTTTTGTATATTTATACAAAGTCAGCTTATTGCCCCCACAGCTGGGTCCTCCCTGTTGCTTATTCCTCCTCTTCCTCTCCTCCTCCTCCTTCCTCTTCTCCTCCTCCTCCTCCTTCCTCTCCTCCTCCTCCTCCTCCTCCTTCCTCTCCTCCTCCTCCTCCTCCTGATTCTTATTCCTCCTCTTCCTCTCCTCTTCCTCCTCCTCCTTCCTCTTCTCCTTCTCGTTCTTCTTCTCCTGATTCTTATTCCTCCTCCTCCTCCCTCTTCTCCTCCTCCTTCTCCTTCTCATTCTTTTTCTCCTGATTCTTATTCCTCCTCTTCCTCTCCTCCTCCTCCTCTTCCTCTTCCTCCTCCTTCCCCTTCTCCTTCTCCTGATTCTTATTCCTCCTCCTCCTCTTCCTCCTCCTTCCTCTTCTCCTTCTCCTTCTCCTGATTCTTATTCCTCCTCTTCCTTTCCTCCTCCTCCTCCTCCTTCCTTTTCTTCCTCTTCTTCTTCTTTAAAAAAACCAGTCCAGCTGTAGGACTTCCTTTACATGTGCTGGTCAGCAGCTGGTTTCCTTACTTGCTCTTCCCCCTTTCTCTCTTTCTTGTTGGCCAAATTTTTCCCAGATGTTCTGACTGTAGCAGATGGGGAGGTGTCCCCGGCATTTCCCCCCCCCCATCCGTCTTGGTCAAGATGACTTCCCCAAGCGCTGCTTGTGTGACCCAGGTGACAGCCTTCCAAACCGTGGCACCGTCAATCTAATTTCTGAAACGTTTTGAGCCCGTTTCCTCTGATCTGTTTCGGTTTTGTTCTTTTCAGTGTACTGCGTCCCAGTCGCTTCTAATCATAGCCAGACCTGTTTCCCCATTTGCCTTTTTTATTTCGGCATTTGTCATAAAATAAAGCAAATTATTCCCATCTCCAGAAACAATCTAGACTAATTAGTCGTCTAACCCAATAATTAGCTTTTTGTTTCCCTGTCTGTTTTCCTACATTGTTGTTAGTTTTCTCCCCACTCTCAAGTTGTTGTTGGGTTTTTTTTTCTCCACGTTATTACAGATTAAAATGAGCCGCATTTGCAGTTGATGGTGCATATTTTCCCCCCCATTTGTTTATATATATATATATATATATATATTTCCAAGAGGAAGAATGGAGGGAAACGCAATAGAAAAACTACTTCAAAAGCAGCCATAAACGCAAAGATAAATTAAGGAAATTGAATGAGCCACATTTGGAAAGTGGCAGTGAAGACTTAATAATACGCCATCGCTTAAGGTTAAATTGCAGCAGTGTGAAAGATTATGTGTTTGCCCACCCAAGTCTCTGCGAATCCAAAATTCAGGAGTAGCACTTGTTTTGCTGAAATAGTTTGCTAAGGTTTCCAGGAAACTTTCCTAGGGATTTTTCATAGTGAAGGTGACTCAAATGGTGAAGAGATCAGAACTGAACTCTGATAAGGGATGCTGAACTACAATAGAACGATAATGGATAAAAGAAATGTATAAATAATATACCCTGTTTCCGCCCAAAATAAGACACCCCCTGATAATAAGCCCAATCGAGCTTTTGAGCGCATGGCAATAAGGCCAAGCGCTTATTTCAGGGCTCCAAAAAAATATAAGACAGGGCCTTATTTTCGGGGAAATACGGTAGATAGAAGAAGGATGTCTTTATATATGTAAATACTGAACAGACTAATTGTATATAAGCAATAAGATATATAGCCTCCTGAGTCTCCGGCAAAGGGTGGCATATAAATCGAACCAATAAATATATGATACTTATCTTTCATTTTAGCATGTTTGGCAAGAGAATGCCATTACACCATGTCCAATGTTTTAATATGTGTGTAATAAAACTTTATTTTTTTAAAAAATCGGGTTTGTTTAGCTTGGAGGAGAGAAGATAGAAGGGACGGGCTAGATCAGAGATGTCAAACTCAAAGCCCGGGGACCAGATCTGACCTGTGGGGCTCCCCTGGAAACAGTGAAGGACTGGCCCGCGCTGCCTCTGGCAGCCATCGCAGCCAAAAATGGAGCTTGGGAACCCATTTTGGCTGGCCTAGCCCCCCCCCCCCCCCCCCCCCGCCCCGAGGTCAAACACAACCCTGATGCGGCGTTCGACACCCCAGGGCTAAACTGTAGATACAAGAAAGGCGTCCAGCTATAAATTAGGCCAGATTTTGGCCCTGATATCCAAAATCTTACCTGGTGGCTCAAAGCCCTCTTAAAAAAGAACAAGTAGTGAATTCTTTGGTTTCGTTTACATTTGCGTAGAGCGGTAATTCGTGACAATTGCTTCCCAGTTCAGCTGGTTTAACCCTTTCCCTTTTCTGTCCCATTAACGGTTCAGTCAAAACGTTTTGGGAAACTTTGGCAACCGTTTCTTCCCGATCTCGGGGAGAGGGAGTCCCCTATGTCCTTGTGGTACCTCCGACATCAAAACAGTAGAAATACTGCAGGATCCAATCTGAGTCGGACACCAGGACCGGAGATTTAGGCTTCTGTGATTTCTAAAATTAAATCTTTGGTCCCAGTAGAAAGAGGGCATTTCAGGGTCCTTTCGGTTATTTGAGGATGAGGATTTTTATTTATATAGAAGGATATTTAGATGGATTAGATTACATTAAGATTAGATTAGATTAGATTAGATTAGATTAGATTAGATTAGATTAGGATTAGATTAGATTAGGATGGATGGATGGATGGATGGATGGATGGATGGATGGATGGATAGATAGATAGATATGGTAGGTAGGTAGGTAGGTAGGTAGGTTAGGTACCGTGTTTCCCCAAAACACAGACCTTGTCTTATATTTTTTTGAACCCCGAAATAAGTGCTTGGCCTTATTTTCGGGGATGTCTTATTACTTTGGGGCCCGTGGAGCAAGATGGGGCTCCTCTTGCCGTCTTACCTGACCTGATTTCCAGCTCTGTCTCCCTAACCCTAATGGGGGGGACCGGCTGCACATATGTTTAAATATTTTTGGGGAGGGCTTATTTTCGGGGGGGCTTATTTTTAGCGCATGCGCTCAAGAGCCCGATTGGGCTTATTATCAGGGAATGTCCTATTTCAGGGGAAACAGGGTAAATGGATTAGATAGATAGATAGATAGATAGATAGATAGATAGATAGATAGATAGATACTGTAGATGCATAGATAGACACATAGATAGACACATAGATAGACACATAGATAGATACATGGATACATGGATCAATGGAGGGAGGGAGATAGGGATGGATGGATGGATGGATGGATGGAATGAATATATTTATGTATATAGCATGTGTATATGTGTGTTGCGTATGTGTTTGGATAGATGTACACTTTCTTTTGAGAGCCGGCAGCAGAATTTCATTTTTAACCTGGGACGGTGTGCTTACGGTTAAAAAAAAAGACAATAAAGTTATCTTATCTTGTCTACGTTAGTAAAGAACTTCCAGGAATCAGAGAAGTTTTCTACAAACCTTTTTCCTTTCCTTCTACCCCCAGGTCTCACCGATGAAGAAATAGATTTGGCCTTCCAGCAATCGGGCACCCCGAAAGAGGAAACTCAGCCCCACAATCTCCCCCCACAGTTGGTGCCAATTCAGCCCACACAGCTCTCATCGTACAGTAAGTATTTATTTATTTATTTTATTTTATTAGTGTGATTTATATGCCGCCCTTCTCCGGAGACTCAGGGCGGCTTACAATGCCAGAAGCCATCAAGCTGCATTATTATTATTATTAGAATTATTAGAATTATTAGAATTATTAGAATTTTTTTTTAAACAAACCAAAGCATAAAACAGCCATCATCCATTACAGCTACAGGAAGTGTATTGATCGGTTACAATTCTTTTATGCTTAATCCCATGTCCAAAATTTACAAGTCATTTAATTTCTCTTATTTGACAATTTATTGTATCCCTTTGTATTATTATTCTCATTTACCAATTATTTAACAGTGGCTTATCTCCTGTAAAAAAAAAAAAACCGCTTCCTACATTTTATTATTACATTTATTTCATGTTTCAAGCTGCTTTATTATTTCTGAGTTATTATTTGGCCTTCTCACTTTATCCGAAGGGCTAAACAGAGCCTGTTCATCTTTTGATCGAAGGGAAAGTCTAAATCCCTCGGTGCCCTTCCCAGCGATTCCAAAATATCTTCTTCTTCGTCTCTCTTTCTCAAAAGTTGGAATTCCTTCTGATTTCCTGTTCGGGAAGAGGCACGCGCGAAAATCTCCGACCGCTCATTAGTCCCAATAAAGACGTCGTGAAAATGAACTATAACTTTGTCCCCTTGCTATAGCTTTGGCTCTTGTCCCTGTTCGGGGAGCTAGAAAGGAAATTAATTTAATTGTCTGCGACAACTCAGACGTGCAGTAAAGTTACTCCCCTTTGGATCCAAAAAGTAATTCAAAACCGTCTTCTACAAACGGGTTTTTTTTCCTGAAGCGAGGAAAGACGGGTGGGGGGAGCCCAGTTTACTTCACAACGTGGTTGTAGAGTCACGACACAATCAGGGATAAATGCTATTGGACAAAGACGCCAACTGCCTGCATGTAGAAAGACAGGATGTCAGCGAAAACGGCTGGCTGAGGATGACGAGGTAGTCCTCGATTTGCGACCCAACATTTTGGTTGTTAAGTGAGGCATTTGTTAAGTGAGCTGCCCCCATTTTACAACATTCCGTTGTACAATCGCTGCCGTTGATAAGCTAGTCACCTGGTTGTTAAGTGAATGTCGCTTATCCTATTGACGCGGAAGGGAACACTGTTATGGTCATAAGTATGAACCAGTCGCCAAGCATCTGAATTTTGATCACGTGACCACGGGGATAGTGCAACAGTCATAACAGGGGAAAAAAAGGGTCACAACTCACTTGTAACTTTGAATGATCACTCCGTGAGCTGTTGTAAATCGGGGACTACCTGCAACACCACAGGAAGATTTTTTTTACACACTGGAATTTCTTGTGCCTTCTGAAAACGATCACGATTCACTTCAAGGGAAAGTTGCACTTTTGAATGGAAGAAGAAATGGACTCTCTTTAAAAACATTTTCAAGTAGTACAAAATTGTGGAAACCTTTTGGGAAAAGTGTATTTTCTAAAACTAGCTAATAACACCACTTTTTTTTTTTTTTTTTTGGAGTAGTACCATAAAATTAGATATCAATGGAAAGATAATATAATCAAGAATGTAATGCAAACACTTTTATGAAGGATTTGCTTTTAGAATAGCAGTTACAGTATAAAGAAGGAAAGTGAAACACACAGAAAAAATGAGATACACAAAAACGATCACCGTGTCTGTTAATCCTTAGTTTTTGTTGTTGTTGTTGTTGTTTTTTAATTAGATTTATATGCCGCCCTTCTGCGGAGACTCAGGGCGGCTTACAATGCGTTAAGCAATAGCCTTCATACTTTTGTATATTTTTTATACACAGTCAGCTTATTGCCCCCACAAACTGGGTTCTCAATTTACCTACCTTAGAAAGGATGGAAGGCTGAGTCAACCTTGAGCCTGGGGAGATTCGAACTTGCAATAATTGCAGACAGCTGAATGTTAATAACAGGCTATTAGTCTGTTGAGCTATCCAGGCTCCTGGATAGGTAACCTTTAGCATGAATGACGGCCTTACAACGTCTTCCCATGGAGGGAACCAAGTCTTTGAGTTCTGCAGCTGTTCTAATGTGAAACCAAGATTGAAGGATGGCTTCTATTAACTGGGTTTTATTGCTGGGTCGCTTCTGACTTAACAAGTTTCTTTAGTCGGCTCTATAGATTTTCAATTGGGTTAAGATCTGGGCTATTCCCAAGACGTTCCAGCAGCGGAATAGGATTATCTTGAAACTCCCCCCCAAAAAAGTGGTGTTATTAGCCATCAAACCTCAAAAATATACTTTTCCCAAAAGGTTTCTACAATTTTGGCCACGACGTAAACGAAGACTCCGATGCCCCCTGCTTTGTAGGACCAGAAAGGATGATGGGCTGTTGTGTAAAAAGCTGGCAGCTACAAGTGGCCAGAGCGGACACCGGTTGACTTAGCGAATCAAGCATGTTCAGGGCGTGCAAATTTGTGCACGCGCGCCGCCAGCGTGAATTCTCCCTCTCCACATCTGCCCTTTCTGTCAAGAGGTGTCAAAACTGTTTCTTAAAAAAAAAACAAAAAAAAAAACACCACCTCCAACTCCTTGATTTTGATTAATATAGAGAAACAAGACTTGGGCTGACTGATAATAAAACTGATAAATGACAAGCGAATTACTTGTAGCGGTAATTTATTACGTAAAATATCTTTTATTTGACATGCGATTAGTTGGAGGGAGCATCACTCAATCTGACTAGTTTAAACAGGCTCCTAAAATGAACCCCCTTACTTGTAGGAAGGATGAAGGAAAGGAGGAGGAGGAGGAGGCAAGAAGAGAGAGAGAGGAAAAAAAAAAATCTGCTATCGACATTTATGAAATACTGTCATCCCAGTGTAAGGATGGCTTAAAGTATTTAAATGATGGATAGGATTTATATGGTCTTTCTCTCCCCACTCGCCTAACCCGCTTCATTACATAGAAATTCTGGGGAGTTCCTTAGCCAAGGTGTGTTTACATCTGCTTAGCCTTCTCAAGATGACCTGAATTTTTACGATTTTCCTCGTGGGCGTTCCCCCCCCCCCGAAAGGGATTGCATCAGAGGGAAACGGGTGTCTTTTGCAAAAACCATCTTTCTAAATCCCGACAGAATAACAGTTCTAGGTTGCTTCTCTCCTTGATTAGTTTCCATCCTTTGCTTCTTGTCCTGCCTTCGGGTGCTTTGGAGAATAGCTTGACCTCCTCTTCTTGGTGGCAGCCTCAGAAGACTGCTATCATATCACCCCTAGTCCTTCTTTTCATTAAGGTAAAGGTTCCCCTCGCACGTATGTGCTAGTCGTTCCTGACTCTAGGGGGCGGTGCTCATCTCCGTTTCAAAGCCGAAGAGCCAGCGCTGTCCGAAGACGCCTCCGTGGTCATGTGGCCGGCGTGACTCAATGCCAAAAGGCTCACGGAACGCTGTTCCCTTCCCACCAAAGGTGGTCCCTATTTTTCTACTTGCATTTTTTACGCGCTTTCGAACTGCTAGGTTGGCAGAAGCTGGGACAAGGAACGGGAGCTCACCCCGTTACGTGGCGCTAGGGATTCGAACCGCTAAACTGCCGACCTTTCAATCGACAAGCTCAGCGTCTTAGCCACCGCGCCACCGCGTCCCTTCATTAAAGTAGACATCCCCAATTCCAGCAGCCCTTCTTCATATGTTTTACCCTTCAGTCCCCCTAATCATCTTTCTTGTTCTTCTCTTCACTCTTTCTAGAGTCTCTACATTTATTTTATTTTATTTTATTTTAGTGTAGTAGCTTGGTCCTATAAACAGGCATCACGTGATGTTGGTGACATTTGGCCCTTTAAGCATGCCACTCTGCATGCAGCATTCTCATTTCGGAAGAAAGTTAGCTCACCTCGGCACCTCTGACAATATTCTGAGTTGCTGTTTTGGTTAGGGTCCCGTCCCCCTCCCCAGTGCATTGATGTTCATGGTTGAAACTTTGGAAACACTGCTTTTAGCTCTTCCACGCAGCCCTTCCTAGTTTCTGCATTTATAAGTGAGCTTAAAATTCTGAATCCACAACAAGTGTTTTTTTCAATGTTGGTGGCTGGAAGATGGCAACGCCGGCTGGGGAATTCTGGGAGTGGAAGTCCACCCCCTCTTCGAGCTGCCAGCTATGGAAAACGCCCTGCAATTACCGTATTTTTTGGAGTATAAGACGCACCGGAGTATAAGACGCACCTTAGTTTTTGGGGAGGAAAATAAGAAAAAAGCTGATTGGCAGATGGATCGGCCTCCCGGAATACCTCCAATCAGCTGTTCCCAGAGGCGAATTTTAGCAACAGGTTCCTTGGTTGTGAGCTCTGTGCCTTGCTTTTTTTTTTTGCTTTTTTTTCTGCCTCTGAAACTTCTGAAACTCTGTTTCAGAAAAAACTTTTTTTTCTGCCTCTGAAAGCCTCCGAAACAGCTTCAGAAAAAAAGCCTCTGAAGCTCTGTTTGGAGGCTTCTTTTCCGAAGCTTCGTTTCTGATGCTTTTTTCAGCCTCTGAAACCTCCATTTGAGAAGCCGGGCGGGGCTACATTCGGAGTATAAGACGCACCCAGATTTTCACCCTCTTTTTTTGGGGGGGGAAAGGTGCGTCTTATACTCCGAGAAATACGGTAAGTAAGCATTTTTTTTCCTTTTCTTTTGGGAATCTTGACAACCTGGTGTCCCCGAGTCAGATTTGCTTAAAGCAGGCACGAGAAATCGGCCTCACCTCACACATTTTATCTCTGGAAAAATCTGCAAAAGTGACTGATATTGGGCAGCCCCCAACATCAGATCCGGGGCTACCTACCGGTTTGATTTTCCTTTCCCACCCCACCCGTTGCAGCCAGGAAAGCAAATGGCAAAGTCTCAAAATACCACCCCGCCTCCGCTTCCAATTAGTTCTTCCCTTTCTCCTCGTCCTCTTTTATTTTTTGCCACCAGACAAAATTGTTTCACGCCTGCCGAAAAATGCGCAAAATGGCATTTCGGCTCCTTCTCTTTATAGACTCTCTGAACTTTCTGAAAGATCATCCCAGTCCCTTTTCATTAATAATGAAAACCAAGGGGCAATAAAATGTTCTTAGCAGGAGCATGATGGGAACGGAGGGAGAGATGGAAGGGGTGAGAGGCCAGCACGGATGGGGTTGGGCAGGGAGACCCACAGGTGTCTCCTGGGCTGTTTTTGGAGGTCAAAGCAGTAGAGATTGGGGATGGGGTGGGGTGGGGAAGCGGTCTTTGCTGTAGTTCAAACCCCAAATTATTGGCCGTATAAAGATGTCAATTTGTCTTCTGTGACGGTCAGGAGTAACCCCTTCATTCGTTTTCACAAAACCCGGATTGAGGTAGAGGTTAGCGATCAAAGGCAGGGATGGGAACACAGGTAAATCCTCGACTTACAACCACAATGGAGCCCCAGATTCCAGTTGCTTAAGCATTTGTTGAGTGACTTTTGCCCCATTTTAAAACCTTTTTTCCCCACCCTTGTTAAGCGAATCACTGCAATTGTTAAGCAAGTCACTGCAATTGTTAAGCGAGTCACTGTAATTCATAAGGGAATCACTGCAATTCTTACGTGAGTCACTGCGATTCTTAAGTGAATCACTGCAATTGTTAAGCGAATCGCTGCAATTCTTAAGAGAATCACTGCAACGGTTAAGCGAATCACTGCAATTCTTAAGTGAATCACTGCAACGGTTAAGCGAATCACTGCAATTGTGAAGCGAATCACTGCAATTCTTAAGTGAATCCCTGCAATTGTTAAGCGAATCCCTGCCATTCTTAAGCGAATCACTGCAATTCTTAAGCGAATCACTGCAATTCTTACGTGAATCCCTGCCATTCTTAAGTGAATCCCTGCCATTCTTAAGCGAATCACTGCCATTCTTACGCAAGTCACTGCAATTCTTAAGCGAATCACTGCAATTCTTAAGCGAATCACTGCAATTCTTAAGTGAATCCCTGCCATTCTTAAGTGAATCCCTGCCATTCTTAAGCGAATCACTGCAATTCTTAAGCGAATCACTGCAATTCTTACGTGAATCCCTGCCATTCTTAAGTGAATCCCTGCCATTCTTACGCAAGTCACTGCAATTCTTAAGCGAATCCCTGCCATTCTTAAGCGAATCACTACAATTGTTAAACGAATCACTGCCATTCTTAAGCGAATCACTGCCATTCTTAAGCGAATCATGCCGTCATTAAGCGGTCTCCTCCTCCCACCCACCCCTCACTGATTTTGCTCGTCAAAAGCCAGCCAGGAAGGTCTCACAATGGCAATCACGTGATCCCAGGGTCGGGGCAACCATCATAAATACGTGCCAAGCTCCTGGGTTTGAATCCCGTGACCACGGAGATGCTGCAACGGTCACAGGTGTGAAAATAAATAATTCCTAAATTAATCCAGTTGTAAGTCGAGGTCTACCTGTACACGTCCCATTTCCCCCTCCCCCCTCCCCATCGTTCGGGTCTCCAGCCTTCCGGAAGATAAATCTTAAGGTATTTCTATCCTTTCTTAAGAGAGCGATTGAAACACTTAAGGGGTCGGGGAAGGAGATGCCTCTGCACCTTTCTGACGATATGTGACTTTCCCCCCCTCTAATATATTTCTTTTTCTTTCTTTTCTTTGCTTGCCTGCTTTTCCTCCTCAGGTCCCCCGAGTTCCAGATGGAGAGATTATGGTGCCCTAGCAATTATTATGACTGGCATTGCAATCGGTTTCCACCAGCTTTACAAGGTAAGAGGTTCTGATTTCCTCGGGGGTGCAAAGCCACCCTTCACCCCCAGCTTCCCAGTTTTTCGTTCCACCCTCCTGACTAACAGGCATCAAAGGAACGGCTTCTTGGCAAGAGACACTCACAGCCATTGCCTTCCTTGCTCCCCTGCCCGCTCCTGTCAAGACGGAAATCTTTTATTCTGGTCGTATTTGAAGGGCTGGGCCAGGAGCTCAGTATCTTAACTCACCTGGTTCCTTCCTGTTTCCATGGATCGTACTGGCATAGCTTCCCAAATAAAGGTAAAAGTTCCCCTTGCACATACGTGCTAGTTGTTCCCGACTGTACGGGGCGGTGCTCATCTCTGTTTCAAAGCCGAAGAGCCAGCGCTGTCCGAAGACGTCTCCGTGGTCACGTGGCCGGCATGACTCAACGCCAAAGGCGCACGGAACACTGTTCCCTTCCCACCAAAGGTGGCCCCTATTTTTTTCTACTGGCCTTTTTTACCTGCTTTCGAACGGCTAGGTTGGCAGAAGCTGAGACAAGTCACGGGAGCTCACTCCATTACGCGGCACTAGGGATTCGAACCACTGAACTGCCGACCTTTCAATCGACAAGCTCAACGTCTCAGCCACTGAGCCACCGCGTCCCTATCTTCCCAAATACGCCTCTATCATTTATCAGCTGAAGATATAAGCACGCTATTCTACAAGTCAAATCCTCTCCTTTGGCTTCATGTTCCTTTCAGTTTTGGGTGACTTGCTCGCAGGTAGCACGTTCCTGGGAATGCAGGCCACTGAATAAAATAAAGAAATAAAACCACTGTGCGATTGCGACAGTGGTTAAGACGTAAAGCTCGGGTCTCTGGGTGTTAAAAGGAGTTTTTTTTTTCCCCTCCCCATTTTCATTCATGAAATGTTAAGGGCTATGCAAATTCGTACACACAGCCGAGACCAAAATAGCTGTATTATTAAAAGTGCAGAACATATTTCCTAGCCCTAGGCACTTCCACTCGGTACGCATATATTTTTTTTAACGTAGTAAACTCTCTCGAAGAATTACCTTTAAAACACTCTTTTCTACATCTGTACTTTTTAATGCCTTTTATAAAACGAGGATAGCTCTAGAATGAAGAGCTAAACCGAAGAACCTGGCTGCCTTTAAAATTAGCTTCGAGTTTATTTCAGAGCGGCTAACCGTAGATTTGGTGCTGTTTGACGAAACTAATTCAACCGCAGCATCTCGGCTTGTGGCGGTTGGCACGAGAGGAGAAACGAAAGCGGAGAAAAAGATCCGGGGCCCTTATGGAATCAGGATTGAATTGCCTGTGCTCAAAACAGTGCCTTCATATAAAATATCATACAAAGCCTCAATTAAGGAATTTTGCCATGGCTTTTATACGTTGGTGCTTGGACTCGGCCAATAAAACGTGAATGTATGGGATGCGTTACCTTGAATTGGAAGCTAACCGTGATTTGGCACCATGACCGAGGTGTCACAAATCAGTTTGCTTAATTGTGGCTTCGGACACTTCCAGTCTTCCGAGGTCATTAAAATGAGGGGGGACTCTCTAAACCGCTTAGAGAGAGCTCTAAAGCATTGTGAAGCAGTATATAAGTCTAAGTGCTATTGCTACTTTCCTTCCTTCCTTCCTTCCTTCCTTCCTTCCTTCCTTCCTTCCTTCCTTCCTTCCTTCCTTCCTTCCTTCCTTCCTTCCTGTTAGAATACAATATTGCAGACTAACTCTGCCCACAGCCAGGAAGTTCGATCCTGACCAGCTCAAAGTTGACTCAGCCTTCCATTCTCCCGAAGTCCGTAAAATGAGAACCCGGATTGTTGGAGGCAAGAGGCTGACTCTGTAAACCGCTTAGAGAGGGCCCTGTGAAGCGGTATATAAGTCTTAAGTGCTAGCGTTATTGCTATATCATGATGGGGCTAAGATCCCATCACTGCCTCTCCCCCCTCTGCTCCCACTCCCTCTCTCTCTCTCCCGCTCCCTCTCTCTCTCTCCCTCTCTCTCTCCCCCTCCCTCTCCCTCTTCCTCTCTCTTTGGAGGCCGGTGAGGCCAACAGGCCGGTTTTTGCTCTCCCAAGGCATCCGCGCATCCCATTATTGGCCTCACCGGCCTCCAGAAGGCAGTTGGGGGCTGGCGAGTAGGCGGAGCGATGTGGGCAGGACAGCCTGTCGTTCCGCGTGGGCCGGATTAATGGCTTTGGCGGGCCGTGTCTCGCCTGGGGGCCATACTTTGAGGACCCCTGATTTAGGAATTTAGGAACCCACCCACCCACCCAACTGTCTCTTTTCCCCTTTTCTGCAGAAGTATCTGCTTCCCTTGATTGTGGGCGGCAAGGAAGACAGGAAACAGTTGCAGAGGATCGAGTCAAACATCTCCGAAATGAGTGGCAGCGTGACGCAGACAGGTAAGAGATTAATGATCCCATCAGCTCCTGCCCCCCCCCCCCGGTCACAGCCCCTCTCCCGGCGTCTGCCCCCCCTCCCTCCCTTGCCTGCCTTGCCCGCCTTCCTTCCTTCCTTTTCTCCCCAACCTTTTTTCCCCCCCGTCCTCACTTTATGTGGCGACTTCATTTATCTGCTCTGAGAAATCTGTTCACATTTGCAAATGAAGCTGCCGTCATTTCAGTTTAATTTGAAATTGCTTGTTTACTGTCGGCGCGGCCTCAATTAATTATGTTTTTACCGAAAGGCTCCCAACCTCAGAATATTAATAAGGGGGAATAAAATGACAGCCTTTCGAAGGGGCTGCAAAGTTCATTTTTAATTTCTGCTTCTTGGAGTATTTTCTTTGGGGTCGGGTGTTTTGGTTACACACACACACACACACACAGAGACTTGCACACACACACACACGGGCACGCTCAAATAGATGTATAGATATAATGAAAATGGCACCTGTTTCCCCTCTTCTCAAGTCACATTTTTTCCCCTTCCAAGAATTCAGCACGGGTCAGGAATGTCTGTAATTATGGAGCGTCTTCTGACCCCGTCAGCTTCCTCTGTTATTGATTCTATAGGGCACTGTTTATTATCCGTGCCCCCGTGAGATGGCCTAGATTAGCTGCTCCTGTCATGCTTGTGGAATGTTTCCTTTGCAAGCCTCATTATTGGACGGAACTCCTGAATTATAATTTTGAACCCCTCTCTTCTCCCCCGCCCCTCTTACCCACAAAAAGCTCTCCCCTCCCCCCAATACGTGTTGAGTTCTCACTTCCACGTTGGATGGTTCCTCAGTCCAAGCTTTGCTGAATTGGACACCTGCTTCCCCCTCGGATGCATTGCGTTGGTAGCACACAGCATTTCAGCTTCTCCCCCCCCCCCCACCGCCACCTCTGCTACAGCATGTAGAAGAGGTGTTCCCAATCTTGGCTCCCAGCTTGGAGATGGGTAAACTCCCAGAATTCCCCAGCCAGCCTGGGTTTGAAGATTGGGGGGGGGGAGCATCTGAGAGATTTGATGAGTCTAGCTTGGAAGAGAGGTACAGTTGAACAGGCGATAAGAGAATAATTTGTGCATTCCATCAGGGAGGGAGGGAGGGAGGGAGGGAGGGAGGGAGGGAAGGAAGGAAGGAAGGAAGGAAGGAAGGAAGGAAGGAAGGAAGGAAAAGATGGAGAAGGGAGGGTCAACCGTCCCACTGTCAGCTCATGAAGCTTGGATAGGAGAGGTGTAAAGTAAAGGAAGAGTGGAAAGAGGAAGGAAAGAGTGGAAGGAAGGAGTGGGAAGAGGAAGGGGAGGAAGGAAGGAGTGGGAGGAAGGAAGGAAGGAAGGAAGGAAGGAAGGGTGAGAAGAAGGAAGGAGTGGGAAGAGGGAGGGAGGAAGAGTGGGAAGAGGAAGGAAGGAGTGGGAAGGTGAAGGAGAAGAAGGAAGGAGTGGGAGGAAGGAAGAGTGGGAGGAGTGGGAGGAAGAAAGAATGGGAAGAGGGAGGAAGGAAGGAAGGAGGGAAGAGGAAGGAGAGGAAGGAAGGAGTGGGAAGAGGGAGGAAGAGTGGGAAGAGGGAGCGGAGGAAGGAAGGAGTGGAAAGAGGGAGGAAGGAAGGAGTGGGAAGAAGAAGGAAGAGTGGGAGGAAGGAAGAGTGGGAAGAGAGAGGAGAGGAAGGAAGGAGTGGGAAGAGGAAGGGGAGGAAGGAAGGAGTGGGAAGAAGGAAGAATGGGAGGAGGAAGGAATGAAGGAGTGGAAGGAAGGAAGGAAGAGTGGGAAGAGGGAGGAAGGAAGGAGAGGAAGGAAGGAAGGGGAGGGAAGGAAGAGTGGGAAGAGGAAGAGGGAGGAAGGAAGGAGTGGGAGGAAGGAAGAGTGGGAAGAGGAAGAGGGAGGAAGGAAAGAGTGGGAGGAAGGAAGAGTGGGAAGAGGAAAGAAGGAGTGGGAGGAAGGAAGGAGTGGGAAGAGAGAGGAGAGGAAGGAAGGAGTGGGAAGAGGAAGGAAGGAAACTAGGAAACCTCTTGAAAGATCTCATTAGTCTTTCTGGGGGAGGGGGGGCGTTGAGGAAGACAGACCCTGCTGTGCGTTCAGGGGATCTCTGCCGTCCAGTGAGGCCTGTGGACTCTTGTCTGCCTTTTGGCCCCAGCTTCCTCCCTGGGCAGCCGGCAAAGCTTTTTCCCCGGCCTGCCCTGGAGGCAGATAAATTACCCTGACGCTGCACCCATTCAGAGAAACGGTGCAAATCACAGGCGGTCCTAATTAGAAGGGAGAGGTTTCAGACGGAGGCCCTGTGAGCTACAGACATCTATACAAAGGGGAGATAAAGGAGGAACGGTGAAGATTAGATACAGCCCAGGTAGATTACGGCAGAGCTCAGATAAATTATAAGCAGTTAGAGGAGGAAGGGGAAGCTGGGAGATAAATCAGACCGGGGGGGGGACGAGAAATGTGGGAGATCTGCCGCTCCGCGTTCGAGGAATCTCGTTCTCCTCCTTGTGTGCCTGTCCTGATTTAATCATCTTCCTCCTTTTTCCTCGCACAGTGACTCAGCTCCAGAGCACTTTAGCCTCGGTCCAGGAGCTGCTCGTCCAACAGCAGCAGAAAATCCAGGAGTTAACCCAAGAGCTGGCGACCTCCAAGGTACCTCGCTTCCCCGCTCACCTACAATCTTTCCAGCCATCGACAAAGTTTTTGTGAGCCTTTTCTCACCTCCCATCTCCGTCCCCCCCCCCACATCCCAATCAGATGGCTGGAAAAGCCCCAGAGAGAGGGTGGGGGGCAAGAATGCTCTTATCGAGGGCCCTCTCTACCATAAAGGCTGAACGGAACCTCCATGTTCAGTAGAAGTCTAGCTCAGAGGGGGTCCTCAACCTTTCGGACCTCAGGGACCACTAACTTCATAATTTTAAACCCCGCGCGCCACTAATACGATTTGCTTAATGACCGGCTGGGTGGGCGTGGCTAGGTGATCATGTGACTGGGTGGGCGTGGTCAACTCGATGTCACTCACGTCGAGGGGCGCCTCGCCGGCCTCTACTCACCCCTCCCAGCCACGCCTCGCCTCCCCTCCCCGTCTGGGCTCCTTAGGACCCCAACAGGAAGCAGTTGTTGGAGCTAAGCAGCCACCACGAAAAAGAGTTGGCAAAACAGCTGGCTCAGTTCAAATTGGATCTGGCCGAGAAAGAGGCTCAGCAGAAGCACCTCACTGAGGACTAGGAGCATAAGCTTTCCAAGCAGAGGGAAGACCTGTAGGAGTGAAAGGCCACGTAACGGTCCCTGAAGGCTCAGTGGGCTGAGATGGTCAGCCAGTTCCAGGCCATGAGGCAGTCCACGGACCACCAGTTGGTGACCGCTTACTCTAGCTCATTGCCAATGCCGACCGAAAAAAATCTCAAGGGATCGGTTGAATGGGTTTAATGGAGAAGCGACTAAAAAAAAATTTACTACCGTATTTTTCGGAGTATAAGACGCAACATACCTTTTATGGTGAGGAAAGCAAGAAAAAGAAATCTGCCTCTGCCTCCCAGCAATTTTGCCTCCTTGCAGCAAACAGCCTGCTTTACTTTCATTTTCGTTTTCAGCATAGCTTGATTAGCACAAGGGGAAAAAAAAAATCTGCTCCCAGCAATTTACCTCCTTGCAGCAAGCAGCAGAGGCCCGCGCAAAACAGCTGAGAGTCAGGAGGCCGATCCAACCGACGATCAGCTTGTGCTAATTAGGCCGTGCTGAAGCTGAAACGGGCTGTTTCTTCTTGCTGCAAGGAGGTAAATTGCTGGGAGGCAGAGGCCAAAGGGTGGGGGCCAGTGGGTGGACGGGGCTACATTCACCCTTTTTAGGGGCGAAAAAGGTGTGTCTTATACTCCGAAAAATACGGTAAGTGGTCCCCTTACCTCCATCATTTAGAACAGGGGTCTGCAACCTTAACCATTCGAAGAGCCAATTGGACCCGTTTCCCACAGAAAAGAAAACACCGGGAGCCACAAAAACCCTTCCCGTGTGTGACTATTTCTTGAGCGGCCACAAAACTAGCATATATAGTTGAATTAAATGTTCTGTTTTCTTCTGAAACTTTTCTTTTCTTGGATTTATCCATGGTTGGCCTACCAGGGGTTGAAAAGCTCAATAAATCACGTGCCGGCAGATGTCGCACATTGGCAATTGTGACGCGTATTTTGAGTGCCTGGGAGCCGCAGCAGAGGGGTGAAAGAGCCACATGCGGCTCCAGAGCCACAGGTTGCTGACCCCTGATTTAGGAGGTGGTCCGTCGGGGCGGATGTGGTAGACCAGGCAATGGGGATACTTAGAGCATCCACGAGCCAGGACTGCCCCCCCCCATTCGTGTTTCATTTCATGCCCTCTTTTAGCTGTCTTGGGTGGCCTACAGCCGGGCAGGAAACAGGATCTCTGTCTGAAATGTTACTATTAAGAGCACATGTCATGCTTTAAAGGAAAAAAGCATGGGGGGGGGATTCACGGATGGGGAGGAAAGTTCAAAAGACTCCCCCCATTTTTTAAATAAAATACACAAACACACACATCTTAATATAGCTGCGCTCTGCCCTAACAATCAAAAACTTTCTTCATCCGTACAGAACGAGAGAGAGAGAGAGAGAGAGAGGGAGAGAAACAAACTTGGCTGAACTCGTAAACCGTAGAATAAAAAACAAAACGGGAAAAGTAAGAGTTTTTCCAGCTGCCGTGTAAAGTTTTTCTATCCGCTGATTAGTGGCACGTTGCAAGCATTAAAAAGAGAGGCTTGAAGCAATTAAAGGAATTTACACCCAGTTTTCAAAAGCCGGGGATGGGAGTGGGGGGGAGAGAGAAGGAGAAGATACAAGGCCAAGCTCCAGATGTACATTTTCCACTCAGTGTGTGCGTGTGGTGTGCCTGCGTCGGTGACTCTGGTGTGTTTTAAAAGAGGCTGCCTTAAAAAGGCCCAGATGTCAGGTTTTTTTTTTTCTTTCCGAAATCCTCCAGCATCTGGCACCAGATGTGCCTTTTGCAAGCCAGCCAGTTTGGAGAACTCTCTCTCTCTCTCTCTCTCTCTCTCTCTCTCCTTAATGTACTTCTGCAGGCTTTCAAAGGGCCGAGAGAGCCAAAACGGTGGCTGCCAGGCAGCGTGAAGTGGGGAGATCTTGGCCTTCCCCTGGGGACCACATCTGTGCCTGCATTGCCAGCTGTGACAACGCCAGCCAGAGCAGAAGCTCTGGAGCTGGCTGTTTAAACCTTAACAGGCGGCATCGGCAAAGCGGAGGCTCTTGGAAATCACAGTTCCATTCATTCTGAGCTGGGCACAGGGTGGTATTTTTCAGACAGATGCGCCCTGCTTCTCGTGGCATCTCCTGCTAATTCATACCCCCCCCCTTCCCCTCCTGTTGAGCCTGGCACCTTAACCACAAGACCACACTGCAACCCACCCCAGGGCAATCGGGCAAAAATGATCTCTGCTGGAATCCGCAGGTGGCACACGGAGCCATATCTGTGGGCACGCAAGTGTTGCCCTAGCTCAACTCATGCGCACGCCGGTCATCTGATTTTTGGGCCTTCTGGGCCTACTGGAAGCCAGGAAACAGGCTGTTTCCGGCCTCCGGAGAGCCTCCGCAGGGCTGGGGAAGGCTGTTTTGGCCCTCCCCAGGCTCCTAGAAAGTCTCTGGAGCCTGGGGAGGGCGAAAAACAAGCCCACCGTGCTATCGCGTGCCAAAAGTGGGGGTCGGCGGGGGTTTGTGTGCGCAGGGGGGCGGGGCGCAGCATTGAATTATGAGTGTGGGCACCCGCGTGCACAACTCCCCCGCGTTCCCCCCCGCTTTTGGCACGCGACGGCCAAGAGGTTAGCCATCCCTGCCCTATACGATTTCAGACAGGTGGCTGTCCAGTTGTCAACTTGCAAAGCTTTCAAGTTGCCATGAGCAGGAGGGAGGGAGAACTGAAGTGCATTCCATACATTCTTCCTGACCGCAGTCAGAAGGAGGGTGTTAGGTTTCACAGCCAGCCAAAGTGGCTAATTGGAGAGTGTGATTTATGACATGGCCAGAGAGGAGGGGAGAGACAGGGTCATAGGGGAACGTAAATCTACGTGGGATCAGTCCTAACTGCATCCGAGTATTGCCGGAATGTTGCTCCTAATAAATGACTATATTTCCTTTGAAGTTTGGATCATGGCTCATGAATTAATTAGGGCATCTTTCGGAAACTTGACACCAGTCTCTTCTTCAAAAACCTCCAATGATGGAGCCCCACTGATGGTTAATTGTCCTCCTTGCCATGAAGTTTCTCCTTAATGCCAGGTTGCTCCTCTCTTTGATTAGAATAGACTAGAATGAGCTGGAAAGGGACAGTGGAGGTCCTCAAGCAGGAGGACTTCTACCATTTTAGATAAGTGACTGTCTAGACTAGTGATGGTAACCTCTTTGCCATCGTGTGCCAAAAGCGGGGGAAGCGCCGGGTGGGGGAGTCATACACGCATGTGGCCACACCCATAATTTAATGTGCCCCGTGCATGCGCAGGCAACCCCCCACTTTTGGCACGTGATGGCACAGTGGGCCCGATAGGCCCGTTTTCCGCCCTCCCCAGGCACCAGAAGCTTTCTTGGAGCCTGGGGAGGATGAAAACAGCCTTCCCCACCGCCCTGGAGGCCCTCCAGAAGCCAGAAATGGCCCATTTACTAACTTCTGATGGGACCGGTAGGCCCGTTTTTCGCTCTCTCCAGGCTCCAGAGGCTTTCCTAGGCCTCTTTTGATAAAAAGGGAACGGGTGGTGCCAGTCTGGGGCCTATTGGCGGTTGACGCCTCTAGGGGAAAAAAAGAAACGGTCAGTTTTTACGAAGTCCTTCACTCGAAAAGTAGCCGCTGCTTGCTAGACGCCCGTGTCAGCACTGCAACGCTGGCATAGAGAGAGAGAGATAAATTCTGAACTTTTGCCTGCTAAATCCCTTTGAAGTTGGGTTGTCGTGGAAATGAAGGGGGGAGACATTCCTGGGAAATGACGAGACAAGAAGTCTGAAGAATGACTTGGAAGATAGCCAATGAGAAGCAGAGATTTGGGGATCGGAAAGGGAGGGATTGGGGGGCAAAAGGTCAGTCTTGTCCGCATCGAATCATGATCCGGTGGCTGTGCTCAATTAAAGAAAAGATTTCCTTAAAGATTGGCAGTTTGGAAATTCATTTATTTTGAGATAGCATCGAAGTCTGACAGCCCGTTTTGAGAAGCCATCATTTAAGGGAGAAGTTTTCCCCGAGTTCTGACTCCAGCCACTGCTTTCCCTCTTAGGCCACCACATCGACCAACTGGATTTTGGAATCTCAGAGTATCAGTGAGCTGAAGTCGGAGATCTATTCGTTAAAAGGGCTCCTCCTGAACAGGTAGGAAATGAAAGAATAACTTTATTGTCGCTTTGCGAATGTACACTTAATCGGCACACATGAAAATGAAACTTCGCTGCCTACGAAACGAGGACCGGGGAGAATAGAGCCACCTCTCAACCTAGCAAAATAAAAATAAAAAAAAAATCCTCCTTTGAAAACACAATTCACAGGCTCCCTTCAACCGCCTGCGTGTTTTCTCTCTTCTGTATCCTTCACGGCAGCCACTGGGGCTGCCGTTTCATCCCTCGTTCGGCTTTCAGGCGACCGATTCGGTGGCTTTAACGCCGTTTATAAGAGAGGCCTCCCAGGGTCATTTATTCATCCGGTTATTTTAGATACATTCAGCTTCGGGGCTCCTGATCGAATAATCTCAGGAGGTGAAATTAAAATAGTCCGGTCCTTTTGAAACGGAACAACTTTAAAACAAATGAGATGCAGGTCACCACAGAGATGTACCAAAGAAGTTTCCTCACTGCCTTAGAATAGGGAATAGGAATAAGAATAGGAATAAGAATAGGAATAAGAATAGGAATAATAGGAATAGGAATAGGAATAGGAATAGAATAGATACAGAATAAGTACAGTACAGAACAGAACAGAGATACAGACAAGTACAGAACAGAACAGAGATACAGAACAGAATAGAATAGAACAGAACAGAACAGAGATACAGAACAGAATAGAGATATAGAACAGGTACAGAACTGAACAGAGATACAGAACAGGTATACAACAGAATAGAACAGAGATACAGAACAGAGATACAGAGCAGAATAGAACAGAACAGAACAGAGATACAGAACAGATACAGAGCAGAATAGAGATATAGAACAGGTACAGAACAGAACAGAGATTCAGATCAGGAACAGAACAGAATAGAACAGAGATACAGAGCAGAATAGAAAGAACAGAACAGAGATACAGATCAGGAACAGAACAGAATAGAACAGAGCAGAATAGAAAGAACAGAACAGAGATACAGAGCAGAATAGAGATATAGAACAGGTACAGAACAGAACAGAGATACAGATCAGAAACAGAACAGAATAGAACAGAGATACAGAACAGAGATACAGAGCAGAATAGAATAGAACAGAACAGAACAGAGATACAGAACAGAAACAGAACAGAACGGAACAGAATAGCAGAGTTGGAAGGGACCTTGGAGGTCTTCTAGGCAGGAAACTACACCACTTCAGACAAAGGGTTATCCAACATCTTCTTAAAAACTTCTAGTGTTGGAGCATTCGCAACTTCCGGAGACAAATCATTGCCCTGATCAATTGTTCCATCTGTCAGGAGAACTTAATAAGGTGGTTATTCAGTGACGGAACCTTCCAGTTTGACATGAGCAAGGGCTCCTGCTGCCCAGGGCACAGAATTCACCTGCGGAACTCTGTGCCACAAGACTTGGGGGTGGGGGCGTGGGTGTCAGCTCCCTTTCCAAGGAATTTAAGCAATGCGAACAACCCATAGATGCCAGTAGCCTAGCAAGGAACAAGGGTGCTTGACTAGCAGGCCAAAGGAACGAGGGAATTTTACAGCGCTAGATTACTTTAATTAACTGGGGGGGGAGGTTTAGGCTAGAGTAGATGATCCTCAGGGACCCCCCTCCGCTCACAGTTTCCCTCTAATTCCCCAGATTGTTGGGGGCAATATGCTATTTAGTATACTGTCTTTGGTGCAAGCTGCCCAGAGTTCTCAGAGAGTGGGCGGCATAGAAATATGACTAATAAAATAAATAAATAAATAAAGTAATAAATAAAGTAATAAATAAAGTAATAAATAAAGTAATAAATAAAGTAATTAATGAGATTTGGCCCAATCAGGCTGAAGAATGACTCCCAAGCTGATGGGTGAGAGCCGTTGAGAATTGGGACTCGTGTCCAAATGAGGTCCTTCACTTGTGGCTTGTCTGGGATTTATTTATTTATTTATTTATTTATTTATTTATTTATTTATTTATTTATTTATTTATTTATTTATTTATTTATTTATTTATTTATTTATTTATTTATTTATTTATTTATTTTTGGGCGTGTCCGAGGGGCATTTTACTCCAGAAGGAACACGAGACACACTGGAAAAACAGCACTTCGGGTTCTTTCCAGAAATGTTTTAATCCATAATAACGGCAAGGGCTGAAAATGAAAGCAGCGTCTCCCAAGGGGCTCGGGGCACCTTGGGGGAGATTGTTATTTGCCAAATTCTTTTATCGCGACCGACTCTCTGGAGGGGAAGGTGGCGCTGATGAGCTGTGGGGAGAGAGAGAGAGAGAGGGCCCCCCAGACAGCCCCTCCCTCCCTTCCCACCCTCCTCGCCAAACCCCCCATTTCAATATTCAGTCCCTGCCCGGTAGCGTCAAGGCGAGCTAGCACAAGGGCAGCCGTGCTGTATCTGTGTGTCCGCGGGAGGACATCTTGTCATTAAGGAGAAATTCATTTATTGTTAGTGGGACCGGGGGATGGGCTGGTGTGCTAATGCAGCTGGGGAGATAAGTGCTCTTGGAAAATATATTTCTTAAAATAAATAAACAGAGCCGGGGCTCTCCCTCCCTCCCTCCAAAGGCAGGAGCCCGTGTCACGGGGATCCGAGAAAAAGTCTCTTAAATTGAATTTCTGATAGCATTTACGATACCGGTGAATGATGGGGGCGGGGGGGTGGCATTTGCTTTTCTGCGTGCAGAGGAGAGGGAGGGGGGCTTCGGAGAGAGGGGGGCTTCCCCAGCAGAAGTCGGGAGTAGCCTGGGGTGGGGGTGGAGAGGATTCTTACATGGGAATGACTTCTGGGTGCTGCCCCAGATATGCCAGGGAAACCCGGAGCACGAGAAATGAAACCCTGTTTGAGGAAGGAACCGCTCCAAGGTCAAGTTAGAAAAAGGCTGGAGGTTCCTGAGATATCTAGAATATAGAATAACGGAGATGGAAGGGACCTTGGAGGGTCTTCTAGTCCAACCCCTGGCTTAGGCCAGAAACCCTACACGAATCCAGCCAGCCCATCACGGCCTCCCATCAATGGATCTAGGATCAGTGGTGGGTTCCTCCCGGTTTGGCCCGGTTCGGCTGAGCCGGTAGCGGTGACGATATGATGTCACCGAACTGGTTCTCCCGCCCCCGCATTATTCTTACCTTTTATTTGGCCCCACCCCCAATCTATTGCTGCCTCCTGAGTCCCAGCTGATGGGCTATAAGGAAAAAAAACTGTTTAAACTCTTGCCGGGGGCTTCAAAGGGCCGCCCTACATCTGATCATTGGTAAAAGGCAGTTCGGTGCCTCCAAAAACAAATGAGTAGACTGGTGCCTGCAAAAATAAATGGGTAGACCAATGCCTGCAAAAATACATGAGTAGACCAGTGCCTGCAAAAATAAATGGGTAGACTAATGCCTGCAAAAATAAATGGGTAGACCAGTGCCTACAAAAATAAATGGGTAGACCAATGCCTACAAAAATACATGAGTAGACCAGTGCCTGCAAAAATAAATGGGTAGACCAATGCCTGCAAAAATACATGAGTAGACCAGTGCCGCAAAAATAAATGGGTAGACCAGTGCCTGCAAAAATAAATGGGTAGACCAGTGCCTACAAAAATACATGAGTAGACCAGTGCCTGCAAAAATAAATGGGTAGACCAATGCCTGCAAAAATAAATGGGTAGACCAATGCCTGCAAAAATACATGAGTAGACCAGTGCCTGCAAAAATAAATGGGTAGACCAGTGCCTGCAAAAATAAATGGGTAGACCAGTGCCTACAAAAATACATGAGTAGACCAGTGCCTGCAAAAATAAATGGGTAGACCAATGCCTGCAAAAATAAATGGGTAGACCAATGCCTGCAAAAATATATGAGTAGACCAGTGACCGCAAAAAATAAATGGGTAGACCAGTGCCTGCAAAAATAAATGGGTAGACCAATGCCTGCAAAAATAAATGGGTAGACCAATGCCTACAAAAATACATGAGTAGACCACTGCCTGCAAAAATAAATGGGTAGACCGGTACAACTCTGCAAGCAGTTAAAAGCCCGGTAGACCAGTACCTTTGCTAAATCCTAAAGAATTGTCACATGACCATCAAGCCACGCCCACAAAATAAGTCACACCCACAGAACCGGTAGTAAAAAAATTTAGACCCCACCCCTGTCCAGGACCACTCGCTGCAAGACAATCAAAGAAACGGTGGAACGGAAGCATTAAAGAAAGGATACAAAAGGAGGGACCGAACGAAATGCAAACGACGGAAACGAAAGGGTTTTTTTTTATTGACTTAACATAACGAAACCGTAAGGCACGATTTGGTGACTCGGGGGCTACGACGCTGAGTTTTCCCGATCGAAAGGTCGGCAGTTCAGCGGTTCGAATCCCTCGTGCCACAAAACAGGGTGAGCTCCCGTGAGTTGTCGTAGCTTCTGCCAACCTAGAAGTTCGAAAGCACGTAAAAAAAAAAATGCAAGTACAAAAAATAGGGACCACCTTTGGTGGGAAGGGAACAGCGTTCCGTGCACCTTTGGCGTTGAGTCATGCCGGCCACAGGACCACGGAGACGTCTTTGGACAGCGCTGGCTCTCCGGCTTTGAAACGGAGATGAGCACTGCCCCCTAGAGTCGGGAACGACTAGCACATATGTGCAAGGGGGAACCTTTACCTTTTAACTAAATTGAAATTGTTAAATTGTCCCTCGGCGAGCTGGGTGCAGCGAGTTGGCTGCTGAACCCAGCATGGCAAAGAAAGTTTGTAAAGCCACTCTGGCTCAGAGCAGCCTATCTTTTGCTCAGAACATCCCACGGGGTGTGTGTGTGGGTGTGTGTGGGTGGAGGAGGCGGGGTAGCCAAGACCTCCGTTGTATGGCCTTTGTGGAATGGGAATCGGATGAATCAGTGACCCCGAAATCCCTGCCCTAAATAAATTACAGGGACTCCCTGACTTACGACCGCGAGCAGGCACAATTTCTAAGCAAGACGGTGGTTAAGGGAGTTTGCCCCGTTTTGCGACCTTTCTTGACCACATTTGCTAAGTGAATTCCTGCAGTTTCTGAAGTTAGTAACGCAAGTTGTTAAGCGAATTTGGCTTCCCTATGAACTTTGGCTCGTCGGGAGGTCTCAAAAAGGGGATCGCGTGAGCCCCCGTCATAAATACATGCTAGTTGCCAAGACTCCCAATTTCTATCCCGCGACGGCGGGGAGGCTGGAAAAAAAGTTTTAAGCGTGAAAAAAAAATCATCCTAAATCACTTGTTTTCATGCCGTTCGAGCGGTTCACTAAACAGATCGTTGTAAGTCGAGGGCCAATTGTAGATGGCACCTTTGAGATGATCCATCGCTCCTTCCCGGATTTCCAGAAACAGGAAACTGCCTGTTATCCATTCAGATGGTCCCGTCTGTCCAGCGGTCTCTATGGTTTCTGCCCTGCAGCCGAGTAGCCCTTCCTTTCCTCTATACCAGCATCTGGAGAGGACTTTTTTTTACTAGGCAGTCGGTTTCCAACACCGCATTTTTCTTTTAAATGCCCATAGATGTCCTTCCCTGGAAGCTATAAAAAGAATTTTGTGTGTGTGTGTGTAGTGGATCCTGCGATGACTTACTTATTTTATTTATTTATTGGTTCGATTTATATGCCGCCCTTCTCCGGAGACTCAGGGCGGCTTACAATGCGTTAAGCAATAGCCTTCCTACTTTTGTATCTACCTGCTTAGTAGGGCTTTTGGGGGCTCCCTAAGTGGTTACGTATTGCATAATAATAAATAATTGTTATTTATAAGTAACCTAAGTGGTTACTTATTGCAGTGATTCATTTATTTATTTATTTAGACATAGGAGTAATTGAACAGCGTCCATCTCAGAAAATAAATTTTCCTTTTCTGTCTTAAAAAAAAATGCAAACCTGCATCCTTTTTTTCTCCCCTTTCTTCTCCAGAAGACAGTTTCCTCCTTCGCCATCAGCCCCCAAAATCCTCTCCTGGCAGATTCCGGTGAAACCCGCTTCCCCTTCCAACCCGGTGACCAACAACCACAACACCAGCAGCGACATCTCGCCCGTCAGCAACGAGTCCAACTCCCCTTCGCCCGTCAAGGAAAACCACAGCCCCGAAGGGACCAAAGGGGGCTGCCACCTCTTGAGCCCCGCCGAAGAAGGGGAGGCGGTGATCGACCTGACGGGCCAGGTGCGGATGGAGGTGCAAGGGGAAGAGGAGAAGCGGGAGGAGCAGGCCCGTATAGAAGAGGAGGAAGAAGAGGAAGAGGAGGACAACCGTCCGGACGAGGAAGATGTCCAGACCGAGGATCGACGAGGAGGCGACGGGCAGATCAACGAACAGGTGGAGAAGCTGCGGAGGCCCGAAGGTGCCAGCAACGAGAACGAAATTGACTAGATCGGGGCGCTCACGGCCCCCACTGTTCTCCCCCGCCCATCTCGATCTTCCTTCGCCAAGGCTCCGATCGCCCCCCCTTGCCTCACTTCTGTGGTTCGCCCCGATCTCACCCCGCCAAGCAGGTGACGGGCCCTTCTCTCCCTCCCGGCAACCCCGTCCCCAGCTCCCCTCCAGGTCTCCCCTCATCCCCCCCCCTTCCCCCAAACTGACTCCCGCCCATCCAGCTGCCTACGCAAGCACAAACGTTTCCGTTGGCGGGGTGGGGGAGACCCCCTCGTTCCCCACCCGCCCTTCATCTCTGGGGAAGGGGGGGGCTTCTGCCCTTCCTCCATCATCCTCTTTATTTATTGCGTTCAAAGGATGCTTGCGCTTCTTACGCTCTTGGCTTTCAAATTGATTTCTTTGCAGAAAGCTCGCTGGTGCCCAAGAGACAGTTTGGGGATTTCAGGCCCATGGCAACCCCCTTTCTTCCTCCCCCCCCTTCCCCTTTTTCTCGCCCCCCTTTCCCCCCCCCCCCTTCCTGCTTTTTCCACCATCGGAAGGTCTGGGGACCTGCCTGAAGCTCTTCACGGGTCCCGTTCTCGCCTGAGGAGACCCTCTCCCCCCGCTTGCAACGGTTTCCCCCTTTCTTCCTTGCGGGGCTGGGCTGTGGCCGCTGGGGCTTCGTCTCCACCATGGCTCCATCCCTCCCAACGGAGCTCTTTCCATCTTTCCCTCATCAATGGGGGCCTGTGTGTGTGACACCCCCCCCTCCTCCTTCCTGTCTTTGGCCCGGTTGGGTGGAGAAAAGAAACCTGTGGCGTCGTGTCCTCGGGTGTCGCCGCGGTGTTGGTTTCCATTCCCGTCATTAAAAGAGCCTCGAAACCCAGTGACAAAACATCGCGAGCCTCCTCTTATTGCGCCTCGCCGAGAGGACCCAGCGAAACGTGCTCATCTGTGTGATCATGTATAGAATTCCAGTATAAAATATGACTGTATATAATTGTAATAAATATGAGTTACCACTGTTTCACTCTGGGTGGTGGCTAGTCTATATCTGCCTTCCTTTGCCTTTCTTTCCTTTCCTTTCCTTTCCTTTCCCTTCCCTTCTTCCTTTCCTTTCCTTTCTTTCCTTTCCTTTCCCTTCCCTCCCTTCCCCTTCACCTTTCCTTCCCTTCCTTTCCTTTCCTCTTTTTCTTTTCTTTCCTTTCCCTTCCCTTCCTTTCCTTTCTTCCTTTCCTTTCCTTTCCTTTCCTTTCCCTTCCCTTCCCTTCCTTTCCCTTCCTTCCCTTCCCTTCCCTTCCTTTCCTTTCCTTTCCCTTCCCTTCTTTCTTTCCTTTCCTTTCCCTTCCCTTCCTTTCTCTTCTTCTTTCCTTTCCTTTCCTTTCCTTTCCTTTCCTTTCCTTTCCTTTCCTTTCCCTTCCCTTCCCTTCCTTTCCCTTCCCTTCCCTTCCCTTCCTTTTTTCCTTTCCCTTCCCTTCTTTCTTTCCTTTCCTTTCCCTTCCCTTCCTTTCCTCTTCTTCCTTTCCTTTCCTTTCCTTTCCTTTCTTTTCCTTTCCTTTCCTTTCCCTTCCCTTCCCTTCCCTTCCTTTTCCTTCCCTTTCCTTTCCTTTCCCTTCTTTTCCTTTCCTTCCTTTCCTTTCCTTTCCTTTCCTTTTTTCCTTTCCTTCTTTTCCTTTCCTTTCCTTTCCTTTCCTTTCCTTTTCTTTCCCTTCCCTTCCCTTCCCTTCCCTTCCCTTCCCTTCCCTTCCCTTCTTTCCTTTCCTTTCCTTTCCTTTCCTTTCCTTTCCTTTCCTTTCCTTTCCTTCCCTTCTTTTCCTTTCCTTTCCTTTCCTTTCCTTTCCTTTCCTTTCCCTTTCCTCTATTATCCATTTCTTCTTCCTTCTCTGTTTCCTCCCTCCCTTTCTTTTTCCTTCCCTTCCCTCCTCTCCTCTCCTGTCCTTTGCTTTCTTTCTTTCCTTCCCTTCCCTTCTTATATTTCCCTTCCCTTCTTCAGTTATCGGCGGTTTTCACTTGAGAAGAGGAGCAAATGGATTCATGATCTTGGTGGTGGTGGTGGTGAGATTGTGTCACTGTTGGGTCCTTCAGAAAGCAAACCGATTATTTTAACAACTGGAATCCCACCCTCTTCCTTTAACGGAGACCTTCCCTTTCATTATTTCTCCTTTAACTCTCTGGTTTCTTTTCTTCTGGTTCTGGATGAGGCAGTGGTGTAAATCCAGGGGCTCCCAAATGATCAGCTTGTGAGGAGAACAAATAGGCACTTATTCTCACCGGGGACAAAGGATTTGTGGGTTTTGCCATTTTGCCTGCACAAGACGGTTGGGCCGGGGCCGGGGCTATATAAAAAAAGGGGGGGGGCTTTTAAATTAGCCAGGTTGATGTGGGTCGGTCTACCAGGTTGCAACTCGGTTCACATTTCATACTCAACCATCATTGTAAGTTTGTGAATTTTAGAATCTCGCTTAGTTGGTGAACCGAAGTTAAGTCTTGATATCATCCACTCACTATCCGGGGTGAAATCCAGCAGGTTCTGACAGGTTCTGGAGAACCGGTAGTGGAAATTTTGAGCAGTTCAGAGAATCGGGTAAATGCCACCTCTGGTGGCTCCAGAGTGAGGTGGGAGTGGAGATTTTGCAGTATCCTTCCCCTGGAATGGGGTGGGAGTGGAGATTTTGCAGTATCCTTCCCCTGGAGTGGGATAGGAGTGGAGATTTTGCAGTGTCTTTCCCCTGGAGTGAGGTGGGAGTGGAGATTTTGCAGTATCCTTCCCCTGGAGTGGGGTGGGAGTGGAGATTTTGCAGCATCCTTCTCCTGGAGTGGGGAGGGAATGGGGATTTTGCAGTATCCTTCCTGGAGTGGGGTGGAATGGGGATTTTGCAGTATCCTTCCCCTGCCACATCCACCAAGCCACACCCATAGAACCGGTAGTAAAAAAAAAATTGGATTTCACCATTGTCACTACCTGTTGTTAAATTGTGGTTCGGCTAGGTGGCTTTGGAGGCTCCTTAAACCCGTCTGTAAAACAAGCTTCTCCTGATGGTGCCCTTTCCTCGCGAAAAAAGCAAAGTACCTCAGTTCACTTGGGGAACCCAAGTATGATTCTGTTTAAATTTCTCCTAGCAATGAAGACGTGTGCAAGGGGAAATGAAATCCCCTGTGTGTGTATGTGTGTGTGTGTCTCTCTCTGTGTGTGCATGCAACTAGGTGCAAGAAGGAGGCACTACCACGCAGCTCCTAATCTAACCGACAGATTGAAGCACAATTGTAAAAAAGCAAAAAATTCTGGCTTAGGAGATTGTGGGAAGCATATTTAAAAGCAAGCCAACCCAGGAGCCAGCCTCTGCTGAGACGGCACAACTTAACCGATTCAATAATTACTTAGGGGAAATCCTTTAAAGGCAGAGACACCCCCCCTCCCCAAAAGGAAGGTGGAATAACGGCAAAATTTATTTGATTTTTTTTTTTGTCTCCCCCTTCGAATTATATTTAGGAGCAGCCGCATGGCAGGTCAGAGCCCGGGGCTGATTGATGGATCTCGCGGCTGTCTCCTTTGACTGGCAGAGACGAGCTCCGGGGAGCTCCCGAACCGAACCCGTGCTTGGCCTTGACGTGCCAAGCTCGGATTCTCCGATCCGTAGCACTTCTGCGCGAGGAGGCTCAGATAGGCCGCTGGGGGCCGCAAGGCAGAATCATTTCTGATCCACTTCTTGCAAATTCGAAACAATCAAGTCAGAATGCAGCTGTTTTCAGGCTGTATTGTGGCCTTTTTTGCCCCGTTTTTTTGCGCCCACAAAGACCAGCTGGTTGGCACACGTGCAACCAGAACAGGAGCTGGCAACGGCGCGCGTGCCCACAGAAAGGGCTCTCCGTGCCACCTTGGCAACCGTGCCATCACGGCCCTATACCATTTCAAATGGGGGGGGGTTGTCCGGTCTCTTCTTAAAAAGCCTCCAGTGATGGAGCCACCCACAACTTCTGGTGGCAAGTCGTTCCGCTGGCTAATTGTCCCCTCTGTTAGGAAGTTTCTCCTTAATTCCAGGTGGCTTCTCTCCTTGGTTAATTTCCATCCGTTGCATCCGTTGGGTTTTATTATTGATTATTATTATTTGATTTTACCTGGTTTTGATTCGGATTTTTATCGTATGTTTTTGCTTGTGTTCGCCGCCCTGAGTCCTTTGGGAGAAGGGCGGCATATAAATACGTGCAAATAAATAAAATTTATGAGCCTTGGTAGTACAGTGGTCTAAAGCACCCTGTTATTAAGACCAGCTGCCTGCAATTACTGCAGGGTTCGAATCTCGCCAGGCTCAAGGTTGACTCAGCCTTCCATCCTTTCAAAGGTAGGTAAATTGAGGACCCAGTTTGTGGGGGCAATAAGCTGACTTTGTATAAATATACAAAAAGGATGGAGGCTATTGCTTAGCACATCGTAAGCCGCCCTGAGTCTCTGGAGAAGGGCGGCATATAAATCAAATAAAAACAATCAAATAAAAAATAAAATAAATAAATATTCTGGCTTGGGGGGAGGCCGGGAGACCGGGCGTGGGGGCAGCGTAGGTCAGGAGTCAGCAACCTGTGGCTCTGGAGCCGCATGTGGCTCTTTCATCCCTCTGCTGCAGCTCCCTGTCACCAGTCAGCTGCACAATTGATGGGGCTTTCGGTTAGGACAGGTAGAGGAAAAAGGATGCTGCACTAGGAGGAGACGCTTTGGTGGGGGGGAACCAGACTTCCGATTGGCTCTAGAATTGAACGGGGGGGGGGGGGGCTTCCGGTTAGGGCCCCTGTGGCTCTTTGAGTGTTTAAGGTTGCCGACCCTTGGCCTAAGCGAAGGCCTTTTTCCTCAGAACTCCTCTCGGAGAAAAATGGGGTCCCCGGCTGTCCTTTCCCCCTCCCTGCCAGCCCCGCGTCTGGTACAGGGTGACATATCCCGGCTCCCGAGCGGGGTGCGGGGGGGGTGCACACCCGCGTGCGAGAGCAAAAGGAGCGACCGTTCCATTACTGTATTTAGACCTGTTATTGAATGTGATGATTTCTCCTTCCTTAAATGGACGAAAAGCCAGGGACGTCTCCCCTCGCGCTCCAGCTCCTTTCATGTCCACGAGGAACGTTATATTTTGCTAAAAGAGGGCAATTTTTTTTATTTTTTTTTTTAAAGAGGGTTTCGAAAGCACTTTCTTTCCGGCAGATTTCCACCCTCCCTCTCCCACCTCCCCTCTGGTTCACCTCCCGCCTAGCCAAGACTCTTTTGTCGGATACAAACAACAGGTTCGAACGCCAGAGAGGGGGGAAAAAAATCACTGACTTTTCGGCATCGGGCGGGCGTTCATAAAAAGAGAAGAAACAGGCCAGCCCAGGTGAAAAAAAAAATTAACGGCCCAAGGAAGCGAGGGAGACTTTGGAAGTTGAGGGGCAAAGCAGATTCTGAACTTGATCCTCTGTTGTTCTCTTGGTTCTTAAGACGAATTCTTAAAATCGTCACAAATCTCCTGGCAATCTTCAAAGTTCGCTCGAGATGGAAAGCAGCCTTCGTTTCTTGACCCGGGGATTTTTCATTTGTCTGAACAGGGGTGTAGGGTTTCCTGCCTAAGCAGGAGGTTGGACTAAAAGACCTCCAAAGTCCCTTCCAACTCTGTTATTCTATTTCTATTTTTATTTTTAAACCCAGAATCGGCCTTCGCTCCGGCCACTTGTATTTCACTGTTTTCCTTCATTGGCTGTAAAAAAAGAAAAATAGATAGATAGATAGATAGATAGATAGATAGATAGATGGATGGATGGATGGATGGATGGATGGATGGATGGATGATAGGTAGGTAGGTAGGTAGGTAGGTAGATAGATAGATAGATGATAGATAGATAGATAGATAGATAGATAGATAGATAGATAGATAGATGATAGATAGATAGATAAGGTAGGTAGGTAGGTAGATAGATAGATGATAGATAGATAGATAGATAGATAGATAGATAGATAGATAGATAAGGTAGGTAGGTAGGTAGGTAGGTAGATAGATAGATAGATAGATA